TTTTTTTTTTTTTTTTTTTTTTTTTTTTGTTTTACTTAGACGTAGATGCTTACTTTACGTTGCTAGTTTGTCTTCTATGAAGTGGGGAGGGGATGGAGCGATGTGAAAATAAAATATTAATCTTATGAGGTATGTAACGCGTGTAGAGGAGATAGAAAATTATGATATTATGGGAATTTTATATTTCGTAGATGAGATAAATAAATTTGATATATCCTTTTTTGGTTATTTGAATGTGTTCTTGAAAAAAATCATGCAGTCAAGTTTGCAACGAGAGTTATTTTCAAAGTTTTTTCAAAGTTGTTGTAAAAAATTTGTTGGAAAAGCAATAAGAGAAGCAATTCGTTATTGTCTTTTTTTACATGAAAAATAATCAAAATATAAAAAAGAGCGAATATTTCGATAAGTAAAAAGATGTTGCAATATTGTTGTTAAAAAAGTAAAATTTTTACAAAAAAAAAATATATATATATATAAAATTAAATAATATATAATATTCTTTGATTGTCAGAAATTTAATATTTGTGACTGCATGATCGATATGCATTGATCGTGATATTTATAACAATTTTGTCGAAGATTATTATGAGTAAAAGAACTTCTAAAAACGAGTCAGGTACTTAAAGTGCAAGCGTTAATTATTCGAAGGACAAGTCAATGCTTATAAAAATGAATCAGGTCCCGCTGTAAGTTATATCCATATTTTGAAAATTGAAAAATTGATCGGCTTCATTTTCGAAAGAAAATTAAATGCTCAATAGATTTTCCACGGTAAAAATCCCCCTGTATTATTGATAAAAGCCATATTTCGAAGCCATTTTTCCTCACAATGTGATACGCAAATGTTCCTTTCAATAGAGTTACATATAAATATACACGTGTATTAAAATATATTGTATAGATTAAAAAAATATATACATATGTATAAAAAAATATGAAAAAACAGATGTACATTAATTTACAACCAAAAGAATCAATCTAATCGAAATTAAAGCTTGCGATTAAAATTATCTTCCTTTTTTTTTTTATTATTATTATTATCTTTGGACTATCCTTCGGTACTCCTCTCTTCAAGGAACTCATTTTCTTGGAGATCATGTAACGTTTGTATATTTGTATAATATCAATATGACTAGAAAAGTGATGATGATGAACAGTTAAAAGTAACGAATTGTCAAGGATACTATATCAAGTTATAAAATTCATTTTCAAAGCTTTTAAATAAAAGAGGAGACAAATATATCCACTGTTGGTATCAGTGTGACGAAACAGATATGGACGCGTACGAAATCATTGATGAGTTTCATAAAAATTCGAGGCAGCGCGTAAATATGCATTAACAGGATTGTTCGAACGTATCGTAGCTCGTTTTCCTATCTCTCTTTCTCTCTCTCCCTCTTTCTCTCCCTCTCTCTCAAACCTACATTCAACTCCAAACACGAGCGTGTCTTTTTGCAACTTTTCTTTACGTCCAATCAAACTCTGTCTCAACCGATGATACTGTTCGTCGCTAACACCGGTTCCATCTCCAAGTAATAACGTTTTTTAAAGATCCAGATTTATAGCATATTTTAAGCAGTGTTGAGTACAATTAGGCATCTTTTTTTTTCCCTTTTTTTTTTTTACTAATACCATAACCGGTTCCAATGCTGGTCATCGAGTGGAGTGTTTCTTTTCTTTTCTTTTCTTTTCTTAAAAAAACGACAACATTCGAAGGCTCCCTCTCGCACCTAACGAATCTCACGTTTCGACCCCCTACGATGCAATGCAATTCTATCAAACTCGTAAACTTACGGTTGGTTTCTCCGAGTGGCGAAGATCGAGGATATCGACGTCGCCCTTGACTGCCACTATGACTTCCACACCCTCAACTTCCTCAACGACACTTTTTTCAAGTGGAGGGCCGCGTTCAAGATATCGGACTCGCGGGTATCCTCGCCATCGGAGTGAACTTCCCTCCTACGGCCGTGCATCAGCAGACGATGCCTGAGCCCTCTGGAGGTCGGGTCGGAGAGGGCTTCGGAGACGGGGACCTTCTCCTTGCTGGAACCGGGCAAGGAGACCGACCTCCCCACGGAGAAACCTTTGCTGAGCCTGTCCAACGTGGCCGGCAACAGGTGACGCCTGGGTATCGCTTGCTCCCTTTCCCTCATGATGAATCTTCCTAGGGTCTTCCAAAAGGCTTGGGTGCTGTACACGTTCTCGTCGTCGCGCAACACCCTCAGCTGGCGGCTGCCGCTCCCAACAGCCCCTGTCCCACCCCATTCCAGCTCCTCGACCAAAGCGAACTTCATCGGATCCTCCATCCTTCTCGCTTTAACCAGCGCCTGGGCAAGAACGTCTTGGGCGGAACTGCTGACGGGCACGCGGAGTATCGCGTACGGTATGTCGGGCGACACGTTGTAGACGCAAACGAGAAACGTGTCAGCCTCGTCCCAGATATGCGTCGACGTGTCCCTCTCGGAGTCGAGCTTCGAGTGGCCGGCCGTGCTTCTGATCGAGGCCAACCATGCCCTGCTGCTCGGGTCGTCGCCCACCCTCTTCAGCAGAAAACGGCCCTGCCCCTTCCACAGAGCTTGAGCTTGCAACGGATGCTCCGTCGGATCCAACACCCGTTGGGTGGGCAGTTCTTCCCTGTCCCTCTTCTCCCAACCGCAAGACACCTCCTCGACGAGGATGTACTCGTCGACGCGGTCCGCGGATATTCCAGCCTTTTGAAGAGCTTGCAGCATCACCTCCTGCGTGGTGCTCTCCTGCGTCACCTTCAGTATGGTGTACGGTTCGTCCGGTATCACGTGATAAACCATCAGGAAGAACATTCTCCTCTTCAACGTCACCCCGCCTAGTCCAGGATCAACGGTGGTCAGTTTTTCCGGCTCTTTGCCGGACGAGGGCCGCTTCGACGACTCCTTGTGATCCCGGCAACACGTGTTGTAATCGAGGCTCTCCTCCTCTAAACGGGAATAGATAAAAAGCGTGGACAGGGCCAAAGGTTTGTTCTTGCAGGAGCGTAGCCTCACGTGCCTGTAGCCGGGCTTCAAGCACTTCAACGGGATCACTCTTTGGGCGATCAAGTGATGGGAACTCGCTTCCACGATGCCGAATCTCAGAAACGCGAGATCTTTGAACATTACTTGGAAGCAAAATTTCTCGTTCCAAATAGGATTGAGCGCGTTGTTCTGTATTACTTTCGTTTTATGCTTGGCGCAATCGATCGGTATGCCGACCAGCTCGATTTCGACGTAAGTGCTTGCCACGAAATTCGTTGGAGAGACGTACTGGCCGGAAACTATCGAGAGCGTCAGATGTGCCGAATGCAGTCCGTCGAATTCTTTGTCCCATGGATTGAATCGTCTGCAAAATCAATTTTATATATATATATTTCTTTTATGCATCGAGCGAGTGTAAGATATATACATTTCGTTTTTGTTACATTTCAATTCGATTCGATTGGTAATCGTACCTGTACATCATGTGACCCTTGTCCCACATAACCGAAGGTTTTCTAACGTATCCGCACTGTCCATTTTGCTCGAACATAGCGGCGTTCAGATTCAGCCCAGCGTCGTCCGTTTGATAATTTAGCGCCACCATTTGAATACCGAAGGCCCAGAAGATTACAGGATTGAAATTCGTCGAGTCGATACGCATACCAGCTGGATACGTTCGTATCAATTGGGTTTCTGCATGAGCGACAACCCCTAGAGGTTGTTTTCTGCATATCTTTTTCGCCGTACTTTCATTCAGGGAGGAGCATTGGAAGCAAGCTGGAACTCCACGAGTGAATCTGAAATGTTTACAGAGAGTGTTTATATAGAAAGTAAATTTAAATCTTTCTGCGTATGCAATTTTTTACATCGAAATTTTTAAGTGAAACTTTTTTTCATCTTCTTTTCATTTGGAAAGCGCGAGAAAAAATTACAAATTTTGTCATTAAATCTAGAATATTTTGAATTATCTCGATATCTCGATCGGTTGCCTAGATATCGTAAGGATTCAAAGATTTCCATAATTGAGAACGAGACTGCAAGCAAGTGATCTACATTTTTTCCTAGAAATGCGTACTTCTAGGAATCGCGTCTGTCACTTGTTTGGAGTTTTGGGTAGGTCAGTGAGAGAGTGACAAGGACGGAGATAGCGAACAACCAAAAATTACCCTTTTCTTTATACGATATCTCGACAACCGGAAATCGGGACGAAGTAAAAAGTGTCTCAAAGAGGAAGCGTTCACGCTTCCAACGATCGTTCATTCATTAATCGAAAATAATTATCTTCGAAGTTGTGGAGGTTCAAAGTTTTAATAGGATTTAATCAGATTTGAGATAAATAAAAGTCTCCTTTTCCTTTACACGTTGATACTTTGAGAACCGGAAGTCGTATCAGGATAAAATAAAAAGTATTTCAAAGAGGAAGGTTCGATGCTTCTAATAATCATTTACTCGTTGACGGAAAGTAATTATATTCGAAGTTGCAGCGCTTCAAAGTTTTCCAAAGATTAAAAATCACTTCCTTTTCTTTACACGCCGATAATTCGAGAACCGGAAGGCGTATCAGGATAAAATAAAAAGTATTTCAAAGAGGAAGGCTCGATGCTTCTAATAATCATTTACTCGTTGACGGAAAGTAATTATATTCGAAGTTGCAGCGCTTCAAAGTTTTCCAAAGATTAAAAATCACTTCCTTTTCTTTACACGCCGATAATTCGAGAACCGGAAGGCGTATCAGGATAAAATAAAAAGTATTTCAAAGAGGAAGGTTCGATGCTTCTAATAATCATTTACTCGTTGACGGAAAGTAATTATATTCGAAGTTGCAGCGATTCAAAGTTTTCCAAAGATTAAAAATCACTTCCTTTTCTTTACACGTCGATAATTCGAGAACCGGAAGTCGAATCAAAATAAACCAAAGAACGTTTTAAAGAGAAATATTCCGCGATCCTTCGTTCATCAATCGGAAGTGATTATCTTCCAAGTTTTAACGATACGAAATTTTTCTAAAATTTTAACAAAGTCTAATAAATCGAATTCGTTAGAGAATTCATGCCTGTGAATACGATCGATTTTCAATCGTAAAAAAACTAACCTGAACAGATTTTCAATATTGCTCCCGCCGCTCGCTAACGAAGCCGATGTCGACAGGGATTGTGGTGAACCGGAAGATGCACCGATGCTGGTGGCTCCTATCCCAGCTATACTGTGCCTCTGTACAGGCCCAGTGTGCGGTTGATGACGCGTTTTCCCGATAGCCGCGGTTCCCGGCGTCGTATTCAGCCCACGAAATTTAATAGCCTGCAGATAAATCACCAAGTCCGAAAGTTCTTTCGCTATTTGGCTACTTTGTTTCTGTGACTTATCGTCGACCGCGGAATCTGATTTTAACCGGGTATGCGCCACCTGCGTCCCGCCCAAATACCTTTCGTAACTGGAAATGGAGTTATCTGTAAAGGTAAAACTTTCGTGTTAGCTTCTCTCCACTTTAATCACTTTTACTTCTTGCGCTCGAGATAGTTTTCGAGATCAGTTTGCGAGATTGATACGTAATCGAATTATACGATTATAATTAAATTAGGGGTGAGAATGGACAACAGAAAGCAATTTTAACAAATTTCGAAACAAATTTTTGTCGAGACCAGATTCGAAGAGAAAAATATTACCATCGATATTGTCGTCTTCGTCGTCATCTTCCTCGTCGTCGTCATCCTCGCTGAAATATTCGGAGACGACGGAAGGGCTGCTCACATCGGTGCGCATCTGTTTCATAGACGATGCGCGATCGGTCATGAGCATTTTTCCACGATGGCTCAAAGGAGGATGCGCCAAAGGGCCGGCAGGATCCACCACCAGTTTTTTGTTCTTGATTAATATTCGATAGCGCAACTGCGACGGCGATGGCAGTTGGGGGTCGTCGCTGAAATCGGTCTCGAACAAGAACTTTGTCACCAGTTTGTCCCCGAATACCGACTGAAATATAGTACAATAATTTGGTACAGTCAAAGTTTGTTTCTCTGTAAAATATCACGCAAAAAAAAAGAAAAAAGAAATAAATTATAAAAGTTTTTAAAATAGAAGGGAGGATTATTTATCAAAATTAAAATTATTAAAGTTATTTTTTAAAATAATTTTAATGATACTTATTTCATAATTATTTAAAAAAAAATATGGTTCAACATGTTTCGCTTAGAAAAGCACGTGTTAATTAATACAAAATATTCGAAACATAGGATGAAAGATGACGTACTTGAAATATTTGGGCCATTCGAGCTTGTTGGCTTTGCGAACAATGATTTTCGATGGAGAGGATGACAGGATACGGGGAACTGACGAAAGCACTTCTATCAATCGCCTCTACGACCGAGCGAAACGGTATCTTGGTAGTGAAAGTGTGACCATGGTAAATAACAGGGGATCCATCATCGCCATCCCAGCAATCGAGTTCTACACACCTACATCCTGTTAGTAGTACCTGGAAAATGAGCTTACCGTCACAGGCTTATCGTCCATCGTTTTATTGCGGATTTTATTTTCTGAGAATTTTCACGTATATCTTCACTGACACATGATAACTTTGATTTCTATCATTGAAGAAACGTTAATCGTTTATTCGTTATTTTTATTTTCACGAGAATGCTATTTATTTCATACTTAATTATTTATTTGCAGAGAAAAGATTTATATTTTTAGTGTGATTCGAATTTAACAATAGAGAAAGTTGAATCGTTCTATCGATGTAGTTCTTGGAAGGTTCTTTTCATTATAGCGATGGAAAAGTATATTCTTATCTTGAATTCAATTCTTAATTTTTCCACGAAATTCTCTTACATTTTTCATGGAATTTTCTAATCAAACACTTTTTTTCTTTCTTTCTATACTCCTTTACTTTTTCCATCGATTTTATATACTCGATAATCCAACCAATTTCCGATATCCAGATCCATTCTTTCAACTTCGTCAATTTTTCTCTTCTCCAACAATAAGAAAAGCTTATCTGACGTTAAACGACAATCAAACACGTCGAGTAGAAAAATCTTTCGTCTATCTTTCTTTCTTTTCGAATCGAATCTTTTGGCACAATGTTTTTTAAAATTATCTAAAAATTTAGAGATCTACAACTTCGAATATATTTAATTATACATTTAATTCTTGTTTCTTTTTTTCTTTTTTTTTTTTTAATTTCTCTTACATCTTTTACATTTTCACAAAGGGGAAGTTCCCATTTACCTGAGAGTAAAGCTGGACCGAGGATTCTCCTTTGAGTTGATGACCTGTTAAATAAGTATTATGCGAGCTGGCGATGTAATACTGGGACAATGGCTGTTGCATTTCAGTCTCGAACGGCGTTGCATACTCGTTTGGGAAAGCATAATTGTCCTTGTCCATCATGTACCGTGCAAAGCCCTCGAAAGACAAACACCATTGTGTACGTAGCCCTGGGTCCGGCTCGTGTCGCTGGAATCAGAGCAAATCGTCTCGGTTGATTGTGCTGCTCTGCAATATCTTTGTATGCCATTGTACCACAACAGCATAACCTCAGAACGGCGGAACAATGTCATTGATGTTACGCATCCTAATTTGAAGTAATCAACCGCATTACGTGACTTGTTGGATGTAGGAAAATATCGTGACCTGCGATTCACACGATCGATACACCTGATGTGCCTCGAAATGCCTGGCATTTCTCGA